GATAGAGTTTACTGTACCATGGGAAGAAAATGTCACCTGGGCCCACTAGAGAAAGTTGTTTAGGTATGAAGAGCTTGTTGGGGAATGTTGTGCTAAAGAAGTTGTGAGGTATTTGCAGTGGAAGTAGAATGTCGAGGGTTTGTAGGCCACTATACAGTAGATTTCTTGATGAGAGTCAGAATAGGGGGGCGATGCCTGAAAGAAGCATTGAAAAAGGTAGATCAAACTGCCAAGAATAGCTCTGCATAGGTTTTGAACCAGCACAATAAAACCAGGTGCAAATAATGACTGATTGTGCCAAATGCTCAGTGGTATCATTCATTTGCTGCTGGGGTCGATCGTGGGTGCTTTACTGGAGTAGGCCCCGAAACAGCGACATCCATGGTATCCAGTTGATGCATCGAGCATTGGTTAAGGCCACGTTATGCTTTTACATTGTGACATATGGGTTTGAAACATAATTCTAATATATGCTAGACATTTTCGAAAGGTTAATATAATCTCATTGTACTGTTATAAATTTATCTTAAAAACGGATAAAATATACGGATATAAGAATTCAACCTTAGAATTTTTAAACAAATGTTAAAGAAGATACAACTGTGCATCAGGATAGTTATTAATTTTAAGTTCAAGCTGCTTAATTAATAAGGCTTCCTTTATTTTGTAGCGGTTTATATATATATTTCTGTATTATGAATTTCAACATTGTCGGGCTGAAACGAATGCCCATTCTTGGACATGTGTTCATAAACGTGGGACGGGAGTATATTTTTAACGCAGGAAGAACTTCGTCACGTTGTTCAAAATTTACTTGATGCACGGAACAAGTGGTATCAGAAGCTTGGTATTTTTTGAAATAGAAGTTGCCCTAGTTCTCTACTAGGAAGCAACACAACTCGTGCACACAAATTAATATGATATTTTTTTTTACAATTTTGTCCCAAATCATTCCGATTGAATGGACACTTTTGGGATAAAAGAATTGTGCAATAAATAGGATGTTCATTATTACTTGATTTGTGCTGAGATTTCAAATTTTTTATTAAGTTTAGATAATACTCTATTAACCGTTTATAGAGGAAAACCGTTTCGGGTTACTGACTGTTTTGAATTGCAGTACGATTGAAGTATTTGTTACTGGAACAAAGATTCTTGATAGAATTATATAGTTTTAGGATGCCTAACTTATGAGAAGGATCATGGTAGGAGTTCCAGGGTACGTATAAGCCTGTATAAGTATCTTTATAATAATTGGAAGTGAGAAACTTACTATCATGTCTTTCAACAAGAATATTCAGGAACGGAAGTTTATGGTTTTCTCCATGTTCACTGGTAAATTTAATGTCAGGATGGATCAGGTTCATGTGTGAAAAGAACCCTTCAACGGGCAATGAATATCATCAACATATCTCACCCAGAAGATTAGTGGACGAAGGGACGTGGAAATAGTTTGATCTTCAATTTCGATCGTGGATATGTTTGCAAAAACGGTTACAAAGATTGCTCATGCTTGGCCCTTCGATCTGGCTATAATTGAGGCCTTCAAATTAAAAGTTGTTGCAGGGAGTGATGAAATGGAGAAAGTAACAAGAAAGTAAAGATCTAAGAGAAGGGTCTTTTATGAAACACTCAAGGGTACAATTCACTGCTTGAGAAACTTCTCGAAAAGAACGATAACGGCAAGTGGGTCGAAATGTTTAATTTTTGTGACAAATTCTTCTGAATTTTTAACAAATGATAAAGCATGGCTGATATAAGGGGAAAACAGCCAAGCTAAGTATTAGCCTAAGTTGAAATTAAAGTCTCCATAGGCAGAGACAATAGGTCGTAGAAGGAAATCAGATTTATGAATTTTGTGAAGACCATAAGTTTGTAGAGTTCTTGAATCAGTTGGTCTGGGAAAGGTCGTTTGAAATAAGCTCCAATTCTTTTTAGCTATAATAGAAAAAAAAACAGAGTTCCATTTCTCATGTAGGTGTTAAGTTTGTGTTCAATAAGGTGAAATCATTCTTTTCTTGGAGGATTTCATTCATTTTTACGACATAATCAAAACAAACCATGATTACAACGAAGTTGCCTTTATCTGCTTTAAATACAATTATGTTGTTATTAATTTTTCAGGATTTCAAAGTTTTAATGTCACGAGGTTGTAGGTTTATTTTAACTTTGTGAGATTTATTAATTATGGTTTAAGCATAAGCCGAAAATCTTTGAACAAATTTGAAATAGGGTTATTTGGAGAAATATGTGGGAAGGAAACCGCATAATTGTTTAGAGTGTTAGGAATTTCAATGAAACTAGACGGAGGAATGCAATTATCAGTACTATTTGACTCACAAGAGATTTGTGGATAAACTTTGATTTTAAATTGACCTTGAATTGCAATTTTTCTAGCGAAACCTTCCAAACCAGTTTTTAGCTCTAAAACAGGAAACGGTTTTGAACCAATAGCAAACTTAAACCGTTTTTCAAACAGCTTAGATTAATCTCTTGAGAGTTGACGCTTAGAAACATAAAATTTTAACAAGATAAAAGTTGGCGTTGATATGCCGAAGACTGGAAGTCTTGGAACTTCTTCCCATGTCTTGTGGTGACAGTATTATTTACGTTATTCTGGCCTGTTCGACAATGCAACACTGTCCAACTTAATGGTAGATAATGTTGACTTCAGTGTGGAATACATTGTGATGAAAGTTGCGGTTTTCTCTCGAGATAACTACATTTGACACGAATATGTTGACGTAATAATTTGAATTGCATGACGTTAATAATATTCCATAAATGATAGTTTACAGAAGTTAATGTGTAGTTTAGAAACCGTGGAACTACGTTATTATCACGATATTTTTTGAAAAATTTGATGTCCAGTTTTGTCTTTTGTATGAGGAGCTGAGTTTTTTGTCTGTTTTTCATTTATTGACAGAGTACAGGTACCACGTTTCTCTTTCAGTAAAGCTTATCGACCCACGAAAATGATGAGAAACACACTGGTCTGTGGTTAATCAGGAGAGAGACAGATCATGCTAATCGGAACCCATGTCTGGGTATGGAATTCTCTCTGCAGAATCTCGCTGTTTCTGGTAACGGTTACATTAGACTGATCACCAATACCTTCAGTCAGCTAAAACTAAACGGCATGAAGAAGAATTAACAATAACTGTCATTCTGCTCAAGTGAGAGAATGAAATATTTTGAAAGAACATAGAAAAGTATCTTTAAGACACTTCGGTGATTGGCAATCCGGAATTTCTCATCACCACCACTAGACTAACAAATTCAAATAACAATATGAGGAGACCAAGGCAGTGAGTTAAATACACAGATCATTACGTGACATCGAACATTGATGTTTGAGAAGAATGACATGTCTGACTGAGCTCTTAGCGGCTTATCCATCAGTTGAGAGGAAATAGCTAAATGGTAGTGTTCGAAACATGCAGTAAAACTGAAGATGTTTACGATGAGGATGATGTCAGTAAGAGTGCACTTGTAACAGAAACATGTAATACGTCACAATCGAAGCCTGAAGTTTACGTTCGAATAAACAATGAGATAGAGTCACAACCTTACATCCATGTAATGACTCGCTGGAATAGCTTAATCTGGTAAAATGGCTAGCAAGGATCAGCTAGTTTCACTGCCCTTAGCATGGGGTAAAACAGGTTTATCTGTTGAATTTCAAAGGCACAGCAAAGAAAAGCCTGCATAGATTTATCCAATAATTTCGGCAAATCATTATGTGGTATGTTTAGTTGTAAGGTCAAATATCGCATAATCTAATGCTCTCCCTCAATGGTCCACCCATCAAGGCGACGTGCTACCCTCAACTAAAATTTCAACTGCATAATAGATGAACTTTGATACAGAATCAGCCCTACAGAGAAAGAGTACTTCATAAGGCTCGAAAACGTGGCTCTAATGAGTACTTGCATACTTATGCTGACGATTTGTTTGTTTGTTTAAAGGATATCTGTAGGATATTTGTGCTCTGCCCACCACAGATATCGAAACCCGGTTTCTAGCGTTGTAAGTCCGCAGACATACGGCCGTGCCATTGGGGGGGGGGGGTATGCAGACGAGCTATACCATTTACAAAATATAACTTACCCAGAAACGATGTGATCATAATAGCACACAAAATTAATATCACATAATGGAAGATGTTTAATTGGAAACACCGCAGATTAATGATGTCGTATGATATTTGTTGGTAATACGACAAAGAACCGATGTCACAGAACAGGAAATATTTTGAATTCCAACAAAAAAAAATTGGTACATTATCATGCATTTACACCCCAGCATTTAACATATGTAAAAGCAGTAATCTGCAACATGAACTAGAATCAATATCTGATACATTTATTAACGGAAACATCTCCAAATATCAATGCGATCGATGCGATAGCACTTACATAGACGAAACAGGACGCAACATAAATATTAGGATCAAAGAACATAACAATCCCCCATCACACATTTAAGAACACTGTAAAACAAATCAACATCCAATCAATATCAGCAATTTTAAAATATTATGCAATGAAAAGAGCATGAATAGAAGAAAAACAAAAGGAGCGTTAATTATTCATGAGCTAAAACCTAATTTAAACCAAAACACAGATGTCACCCTAAAAGTTTTATAAACTGGAACAAAATTCTTGCGCAACTTTCTTATACTTTATACAGTAGATTAAAGTCTATCTCTTATAATCACACGAGTAGTCGAATTACTGTTATAAAGTTAAAAATAAGATAATCCACTCAAAAAAGCTGCGTCTCTGGACTTTTATTTAAAGTATACAGCGGATTTCCTCTCCTTACAACAAGTAGATAATATTTTATTGAGTTGGATTTACAGATGAAAATGACCGAAGATAATGCCCATGAGTATAGTTATTGACCTATTAATTTTCTAATGTAAAGCCATCATAATTAGATAACTTTCAACGAACTTATCAAATTTACTAAAAATTCCTTTGATATATTTTACTCACCTGACCAAAGTTCATGACTGCTTCTACAAACTCCATCCCCATTCTAGAGCCAGATGGTTCTACTGATCGTATCTTCCAGATATTAACCACCAAACTCTACATAATGTATATAAAAAACAATCTATAAAGCTGACCAAGTCACTATAACCACCATATACGAAACAGAAGCTGAGATATGATGAAATTAATAGTTATCCCAAACAATTTGTAACAATACAATATACAAATGTACTATCAATTGTTTATTTTACATTTATTTCTAATTAGATTGATTAATGACAAAGATAAGTAAGATATTTGGTTTTGAAACCTCATAATTAACAAGATTATTAGAAATTGTTATTTTAAAAAGAGCAATAGGGATCTTTAAAATATTCAGAAAGGAGATAGGCAACTTAAAGTGAAATGCAATCGCAAAAAAGTAAACAAACAAGCTTAAGGTTTGAGACATAGTGTTGAAATTATTTCCTCAAGATACAATTTTTTATTTTGACTTCATGTCTAAAAGCTGTAATACTTAGGAGAGTCAAAATAGCGACTTGTAGCTTGAGAAATAATGTTAACACTATGTCTCAAACCATAAACTTGTTTAATTACTTTTTGCGATTGCATTTTCACTTTAAGCTATCTATCTATATTATTTTTGTATTTTTTGAAAATCCCTATTTACCCTTTTTAGATTAAACATTTTTAATGATCTTGGATAATCTTTAATAATATGGATTATAGCAATACTGTCCTATTTGAAAAATATTAGTTTATTGAAAAATGTAGTAAGTGTATGATGCTTTCTCGGGAAACAATGAAAACCTTTGGATTGACTTCATACACATTGGATGGATATTGCTCCTGATATCACTGCCACAATGTTATCATTGATAGTGGTACTGCATGTATGGTTGCTATGATGCATGGTGATCAACATACCACGTGTTATGTACATTTTTGTAAAATATATATAGCTATATAAAGTATATATATATATATATAGCTATCTATATATAGAGCTTTACAACTTAAAAAACTAAAAAACCTACATGTAGATATAAATACTAGCGAACATGCATTGCATGTGCATGCATGTAAAACTTATACAGTTACAAAATCCAGTCCATGCACCATTCCAATATAGTTCAGTATTTATATCCTGTAACTATTTGGGGAGTTTGTAATCACTGGGTTGGAAGAACTACTATATATATTCAATGCATGCACATGGAAGACAGTGTGTCATAATACAATAGGATATGTATACAAATAAGCATTTTAAATATTTTTTATGGTTGTTATATCCCCCCTCCCCTCTCCGGTGGCCATAGTAAGGCCGGTCATGGTTTTACTGCAGCTGGAGAGATTTCTTCTTAGAGTGACATTCTGTACGCTCTACAAGGTCGAAAAAGTGTTAATTAACAATTATGATTTGGTTATATTAATACACCTTTCCTCCCTCCTTTTCTGATGGAGTTTGGGTCGTGACACTCCTACGACTATCTTCCACTGTGACGACTTTATCTGAAACTAAATATTTTTAAAGAAAATACATAGCTATAAAATTCCTGTTTCACTTTCGTCTAGAATCGCCATCATTTTCGCTATCTCTTGCTTGCACGATTCTCGTCACACCTTACAGTCAGCTTCAAGAATGGCTACTCTATCTGCAATACCTATAAAATTCGCAGTCACACAATGTTGGCTATAATTTGACACTTACCATCAGCCATCTTCGTGATTGCCAATCCGATGCTCAAAACTGAGGTTGGTTCTACCTTTTAAAGTATGGTTTAAATATTTCTGTAGTGGTAGACAGCCTAGACGTTTCTATAACGTTTTATACGTTTATGTAACGTTTTAGACGTTTGTGTAACATAGCCTAAATCGATCATGTCGCGGTAAAAAAAACAACTGTGATCCTGTTAGCAGCGTCGTGTCCGAAAGGGCAGGAATCTTATACTTAAATGGTACGCGATATCAATACAATTGCAACAATATGTTAATAATCGCTATGGTACATTTGTCGTGCCTGCCATATAAATGTTAAACTACATCTACAGCCTACACGCTGCTATATATGTATGCATGTAGTAGATTATGAGGCTCCATGTAAACCACAACGGTTATACAGCCGCTGTAAAACTACCCTAACCAATGCGCAATGATACGTTTAGTAATATTGCCCAGGTTTTACTACAATACTCACAGCCATTTTTTCTGTAGGCTGGCGGAACAATATTCAATAATGATAAAGAACAACAAACGGATGATCCCTATTATGAACCACTGCCGTGAAATATAAGTATGCTGATGTATAGTGAATACAATTGTCCATGTAGTGTTAACAAAATCAGGACTGGCAGATTAAGCGTGGATGGTGGGTTGTAATAGGACCCTGCTATTTGGCTACCTTCTCTCTGGTCAGTAACTCAAAATTAGGAAGTACGGCTGATAGTATTAGTAGCTTTGTCATAAAATACAAACAGTTCTTTTACACTAAGTATCGATTCCATTAAAAAATAATATTGTAAACCGAATAAAATTCTATGTTTTTAGCGCATAGCCGCACAATAGGATATCAAAGTTCTGTACACTACAGAGAACTGAATTCCAGATTTTAGTGTTGTAAGTTCGTAAACTTAAAGCTGAAACTCTGGGAGAAAAATTCTAAGAAACTAAAAAATACCAGTATTTTCTGGGGAGTGTTCTTGTCTGTCTTGTACATTTTTTCAAAGAAAAGTAAAAACAAGGAAATTAAAACTGTTGAATCGGAAGATTTTGCCCTCTATCGCTCTTAAAAAAAGACGCTGTGCAATGTATTTTAGTACATGTAAAAACAGAATTTTTGAAAATGTATTTTATAAAGTCGCTTTTATTTGTTTGTTGCTGAGCTGCTGAAGACCTATAATTTTGTAAAAACAAAAGCACACTAGCGAAGCCACAAACAAACTAGTATTAGTGTTATACTTTCAGGTAAATACTAATTTTAAGACAAGTGTCAGGTAGTTAGACCCTCTAATAACAGCAGATTCGCTCCGAAGATAAGGAGAGCAATTCTGAACATGATGCACTTACCTGAGTTTTCCTAGAATATGTGATATAGTGAGAGTACACAAATTTATTAAAGATAAATATAATCTTTATTATGAACAGAAAGACAATTGTACGTTCTCGTGCAGGCAAAATCACAGTCACTTCTGCTGGACTCTACTTAGTTTCACAGCTATCTTTTTTTCAGGGTAAAGCTTAATCGAATTAAATTCAATGATCTTAAAGCAAGTTTTCATTCAAATAACTCTAGATAGAACTGAACTTAGAAAGTGAGCATGAATTCAACAGGTAAGTGTGGGTTCTTTATCCATTTAACAGTGTCACCTTGAGACCTATATTCTCTCATAGCATTGGTTGGTTGTTACGTTAAGACAACGTCAACTTTGTCAGCAAAAGATATTACAGTGCTAATCCTTTCAACATGGATGCTATACATTATTGCAATACCCACTCAGGCAGAATAGACATTATTTTATATAGAGATTCAAGAAACAAAGCAACTAAAATAAAATAATCTCAACGACTTTCTGGATCAAGTGCTTATGCCAAAACTGCATAAAAACTAGATAGCCATTTTCTTTTTAATTTCTTTATATCTAAAGCAGGTAGAAAACATGTTCTTGCATATTAAATTAACAAAGACTTCTTCGTTACAGAATTATAGTGCAAAGCTACATAAAAAGTACCTGTGCATAACCATCCCTAATGTTTAATTGATAGATAAGAGGGAAGGCAGCTGATGAACAGCACCCACCACCAGCTCTTGAGCTACTTCTGTCTGACCAACAGTTTAACCAACACTCATATAGTTCAACTACAGCCCCAAAGTACAGAGCGATTAGTAAAGTGACAAAAGAATAATCATTAAATACACTACAAATACTGATGCTATTCTTTTCTTTTCTGTGTGCAAAGCTACACAATGGGCTATATGCATTCTATTCAACGCAAATAATCGAATTCTGGATTTTAGCAGTCTACGTCTGGAAAGTTGCTACTGATCCACTACGTTACACTTTACAAATACATGTGATAATATTTAATACACACATTATTACAGACATTTATCAAAATCAGAGGTTAAAGTAGACTTAAAAATATTTTAGAAAATTAATTTTGTTACTCTTTCGAACATAATGCTCAACAGTAAATTCTTTAAGTTTCTTTGAAGTTGAGTTATGTGTTGAAGTATTATGTATAAGGATAGCAATTCAAAGATTTTTCAAAATACAACCAATTATACCTTATATTTCTTTATGTTTTTTTTTCAATTTTGAACAGTTCAGAATTTTTACTTTAGAAAATAAAAGAATCTTTATACATAATAGCCAAATGTCTATCTGTCACACTCTGTATCTTTTGAATAGTTAATTTGTAGAAAATAATTATATGTCAAAATGCTTCTTTTCAAGAGTACACTACTGGGAAATTACTCTTTTTTTTTGTAATTCTTAAGATATCATATCAACATCTATCAATCATTCTCTGTATGTGCTGAACGTTCAACTAGGGAAAAAATTTATTAAGAACAAAACTGTTTCTTTTTGTGATGGTATTTAGCTAAAAAAAAGTGGACTTCCTCCGTCGACTTATTAAAAGAAATACTTCGAAGGTAGGAGCATGAACAGAAAAAAAAGACATAAAGAAAGGAACGTGTTTGAGTCTATATTTGTTGCTTTTCGATTTATATTTACCTTATTTTATTTTTTAATGTCGGTGTTATATACATATCTGATTTTATTGTACCATGTCGAATGAATTAATTTAACTTGAATTGAATGTCTCCTCTTTGACACTTTTTTTTTATAGAAATGACAACTGTCAAAAAGCACTCACTAGCGGTCTTTTCTTGCTTTCAGTAAAATGACAAAGAACAATGGCATCCATCGGAAAAAAAATCCTCGCGGCTATTTGCGAACCTGAGCGCTCTGTTGTGCTGGGTGCACCTATAGCATCGAAACCCAGACATTTTTGCCAACGTTGCATTGCAGTCAGTCTTTTCTGCCTTATAAACAAACGCAATTCAATTTTCCTTATTGAAATAACACGTGGATTGACAAAAGATGGTTGTTAACGGATTGGGTTGACTGCACATTTTATATTTATTCTTCACCATTTATAGGAAAATTACCGTTGAAATGTTTTAACGGGCATCTGCTAGTGTTGAATAAGTTATGCTTGAGTCGAGCTAAAACACTTAATCTTGTAGCATGATATTTAATTTATGCAAAAGAAAAATTACTGAAAAAAGCATGGGACACACATACATATTTTTAAAAAACACAAAACGTAGAAAATTCTTATTTACATACTGAAAGAATAGTAAGCCAATAAAACTATAATTCGACACAGAAAATGTGGCAGTGAAAATTATTTGGTTGCTTTTATTTATTAATTTTTTTAATTAACTTGAATTTAAAAATACTATTTCAAAAATTCCTGATTTTGTTAACGATATTAAAATTGATTGAAACATCTAAACATTAAAAGTTATTAATATAAAAATAAACGTTTTCAGTGTTATGTTTTAAGAGTCTTTAGGTTTTTTCAGTTAATATTAGATGGACTGGTTTTATTCAAATTATAATTACTTTCATCTGAAATAAACAAAACATGGTCTGTTTTGGATAGAAACTTATATTGAATATATGACAAGAAGAATATCATTCTTGTATGAATGTAATAAGGAACGGAGAGATATTTAGCTTGCTACTTGTCTGAATATATGCAGCAATATAACAATAAACAACCTTTTGCAAAAAAAAAAAAAGAAGAATAAATAGAAACAGCGCGAGTAATTGGTGTCAG